ATAGATGCAGCTATCCATTTCACAGAAGATTTAATTACAAATTTGTCTTCCTTATCTGCTGGGCACAGACTGCTGCTTGAGAAAAACAGAAACAATGCAGGTGGTGGTGGCAGAAGGGTTAGAGCCAAGAGAAGTAGAGAATAAAGATTTAAAGTTAGGGAGGTTTTTTTGTTTTTTTAAATAAGAAGTACAACTATTGCAACCATTAACCTAAAAATGTATTATTAACAATTCATTAGTAACTAACATTCTCACAGAGAAAGTTGACATAACATAAAGCTGTTCTTTTTTTTTTTGGTTTATAAGAAATATATTTATATATATTTAATGAATAACCCTTTGCATTTTTTTCCTTTGGTATTCATTCTCTTTCTCTCTTAATAAAAGTAGGTTATACTACCTTTCTGTACATACCCTCATAAATATGGGCACATATCTAATATATCTGACTTTGTTGTTTAATGTTAAATGCTATACTTCATACTATATTTTGTGGAAGATAAATTAACACATAGACTATTATGTACTTGTTAAATGCATGTGAACACCCTTCTCAAGGAATATCACAAACCTCTTGGCCTGTGCTGTACAATATCGTAGCCACAAGCCTAGCCACATGTGGCTTTTAAGCACTTGAAATGTAGCTAGAGTGACTTGAGAAGTGCTGAAAGTATACTTACTAGATTTCAAAGACTTAGTTCAAAAAAATATTACAAAATGTCTCGTTAGTAATTTTTTAAATCGATTACCCGTTGAAATGATAATACTTTAGAATACTGTTTTCAAATGTATATTAAAATCAGTGTCACTTGTTGCTTTTCACTTATTCAATGTGACAACTAGAAAATTTCAAATTTCCTATGTGTCATACATTACATTTCTATTCGATAGCACTGGGCTAGGTAGAGAGGACTGTATCATGAAGCTGTAAAAGCTTTGAGAGAAGGGACCATTCATTCTGAAGATTTTGGCTTTAATGGAGATGGAAGCTGGTGCTTCTGCAAGGAATGAAACTGATTACTGTCTGCATTCTTAATTAGTCTTGATGTTAGAGGCTACTTGAGTCCACAGTGGTATCCATTGACCAAATTTTTGGCAGAAAATACCACCATTTCAGCTACAGAATAAAATATTGAGTTCATCAAAGAGAACATTTGGTTGGAAAGGATAGAGGAGAAGCAAGAGAAGAAACAATAAAGAAAGCTAAAACACCAGTAAAAATTAGCCATTAAATATAAAAAGTGAATGATTGTCTAGTTTGGTACTATTTAAGTATAAAAAAGACAGCTACGTTATTTGACAAATTATTTACTTAATGCCAAGAAAAAAATCTAAATTTCCATTTGTTTCCTGAGTCAGTGACCTACTGAGGTGACTCTGTGGCTTAGCCTAAACTAGTCTCTTGTTCCTGTAGCATATTGTTTCAGATTTTTACTTTTCTTTGGTGAGATTCCACCCCCTCTATTGGTATCTTAATAATCAGAAGCATTTATACTGCTATGCTGCTATACTTTTCTTCCTTACCCCTCTCCTCTGGTTAGGGCTAGTACTATACTCTTTGAGAATAAATTATTCAGCACTGAGTTCTCTTAGTATGGTAGCTAATGAGCTGGGAGAGAGAGTTTAGCATGACGAAATACAGTAAAAAGTAATAGTGGAGTAGAAGACTATGCCATACATAAAAGATAGTTTTCTCTAGTAGTCATGGAAATGTATTTTATAATATCTTATCAAAAATAGGTAGAAAATCACCATATCCAATCAGTCAAATTGAAAGCCTGGCTCCTGTTTAACAATTCCTTATTTGGGACCACCTTCCATTCTTGTGAAACAAGTGGGAGCATGGTTGTCATGAAAATGTAATGCTTCTCCTTGAAATGCTAATCTTTGTTGCCATTTTATCATCCCAGTGACCCCTCTAATGGGAGTTTCACTAAAATAATGGCATTCTTTGTGGTGCTTGGAGAGATTAACTCCTCTGAAATGGATAAGCTGTAAATCATTCCCAAACATCACAATACCTTGCTATGATTTGGTCAATGGCACATGTGATCAATTTACATAAGAAAATAACCAATAAGCAGGATTCTTTCTGTTTCTGATGTCTATATGTATTCCAATATTTTTGATCAAGATAAACTCAATAAGCAGTACTTTCACATGATTTATGATTAACAACATAGTTTTGTTTTTACATGTATTTTTATGTGTTTAAGTTACCTTTGCGAATGTATTACAAATGACACAACTCAGGAACAGCCAAATGGAAAAGATGCAAGACATGGGTAAGTTTTTTTGGGTGGGGAGGAGGTGTGGAACTTTTCCCTGGGCATACCACCTCCATGTGTTCACCAATCTAGAAGCTCTAGGAGATGTTTGAGCACAGGACTTGCTTATATTATTATACATTTTATTTATTTTGTTTTTTTTTTCAATAAATTGAGGGAGTATACGTGTTTTTTTAACAAGATAAATTGTAAAATTATGTTCAGCGCATTAATGTTTTCTTTTAATCACTTTGAATCAAATTCAATCACTAAATTTTATACATCTGCATTACCTACATGTTTAATTTACATATTATTCTATAAAGAGATAGTCTTATAATCTCTGAAAGCCTGAATTTTAGGACTGGTCCTTGGGCTATTATAAAGTCTTAATACATGCCTCTTACCCTGTTTATCCTGGAATATTACTTTTCATGTTGACAATCAATTCTGGAAGTTCACTCCCTTCTCCCATCTCCCAGTCTAGATTAAGGGATCTTCCTTTATGCTTTCTTAGTACCCTGCATGGCTCTTCCTTCCTTGAACTTGAAATGGTCTTTTCATCTGGATGTCACTTAAACTATGTTTTCCCTTAAAATAGGAACCATCTGATTATATTGTCAGAACTTAGGACACCTCTTAGAATATGGTATTGTACTTTTTACAAAGAAATACTGGTCAAATCAAGTCTTTGACTCTGCACGAGATTCTCCTCTCAGTGTACTTATTCCTCATGCTTTGTTTTGTCCTTCCGATAAAGGGTTCAGTGGAAGTTCATCACATGCACATAAAATTTATTCTATGGACTTGTAGAATATGGAGGAAGAGAAAAATCTATTTACTTAGAGCTGGTGAGTTCTCCTGATAAGATAAAATACTTAATAAGCTTTTAATCCCAGAGTGAAGATGAGATGGGAGATATACACTTGTGATTCCTGTGTAGTTTGCCTCAGTTCCGACGTGCCTCCCAGGATGTGAACTTCTTGCTATACAGTGCATGATTCTGCAATATCCATCTACCTAATCTATCTAATAAGAGACGCATTGGACCCACCACAAGGCAAATAATTGTCTATTCCAGTAAGTAGGAAATACTGCCTGGCCATAAATATTGAAGAATGGTATTTTGACTCTCACCTTAGAATGTCTTTATGAAAGACTTAAGGGATGTTAAAGAGTATTGAAATCTATACAAATTTTCTCTGTTGGCCTATAATGATTAGAAGTGTGAACTTTTCATATCGGATGGATCTGTAGACAGCACCTGGTTCTATCTCAATTTCACTATCAGTTAATTTGAGAAAGTTATATAATATCTGATCTCCAGTTTTCTTACCTGTAAAATTGGGATAGTAGAGTTGTTGGGAGATTAAATGAAGTGTTATATATAAAGAAGAGATCATTATTCTACTATTTGCTTGCCAGGCACTATAATGGCAATGAATTTAGTTATTAGCTTTATTATTCTCACTTCTACTTATTTTGCTGTCCTGTGTTTCAGACTTGCTACCCTTAAAACCTACCAAGCTATTCTCCTTTCTCCCTTCATCACTTTTCTGCAAAGCCCCATCACCCCAGAGTGACAGTAACTTTTTGAAGTCTATAGAACAGGGTATTCTGATAATTGTATTTAAATTCAAAGAAGAAAATTTGACTTTTATAGATATGAAGCATTCCAAATATTTAAAAAGTTCGTGGATATATCCTTTATGTCACATTCTCCACAGCAACGATTTCTTATTAGTTTTAAAGTGATTTCTTTCTGAAATTCTGAAAATAAATGAACAAAACCCTATCATTAAATTTCTCATCCATTAACCAGCTAGAATATAAAATATACTTCATAATCACTTTGGGATTTGTATGCTGCATTATCGATCTGCAGAAATCTACACAAGAAAAACATTGCTGTATGTTCCTTGGAAGGAGAAAAATGTTATTTTAAATTTAAAGCTTATATTAGTTATTAATCCTTTCTCCATTGTACTCACAGTAATGACATAGATTTATTTCTCATTTATAAAAGGTTAATAAATTTTCAAAACTTGAAATTTACTGCTAGATATAATAATGGATAAAAATGTATTTGTAAATTCACTCAATTTGAAAACTCTAAATTAAAATTTTGAAGTTGGGTAATGTCCATTTACAGAAGAATTGGTGATTGAGACACAGTCATGTTAAGTTTCTATGTCCAATACTGCTCTAATAAGGGATTTATCTTGGATTCATGTTGCTAAAATTAGTAATTAATTAGCTTAACCTATTATAATACCTCATGGATGCCCTGTCCTCTGTTCTCAAATTTCTTCTTTTAAAGAGCAGCTTTGGCACAGGAAGAACTATTTAAGATTCTGGTTCATGCAAATTCCCCATAGCAATCATCTTTTATTTGTGATATTTCTAGTGTACACATTAGTTACTTTCCTATTCCAAAGACATTTTGACATCTTAGCATTATCCATTGCTCAACATGTGAAATTAACATAACATTTTTTCATATCTTTTGGGGAAAAGCTATCTTTCATCTAAAGATCAGGAATAATGAGCATTTAGTTGAATGACATTCTACCTCACAGTCCAAAATGAACCCAATTTGAAGGTCAATTTCTTCCTTTCTTTGTTAATAACAAAATAACTCATTCAGTTTGTGGTCAGATCACTAATGGAATCTCAATTATATTCCCTCCAATTGGTTCAAATTGATAACATCTCATTTTCAAGAATCACCACCTGCAGAGGAGTTGTCAGATGCCTCCATTCATGCTCATCAACTGTGTTGATGTCCTGCTGCTTCAAGGAAAACGTAACTCCTGAGTAGGGGTTTGCAAGAAATCAGACTCACCAGGTGCTAATTAAAATACAGTTTCTTCAGTCCAGCACCAGGGGTACAGAATAAAAATCTATAAATGGAAAGCAATAAAATCTACATTTTAAATATTTCAGAGGTATTTAATAATCATTTTCTTATGCATAAAGACATAACAAGTAAAGTCAAAGAGTAGATCCCCTTATTAAGAAATGTCTGTCATTAAAGATGGCTAACATGTGGTTAAGTGAATATGCTCACATATTTTCAGTTCTGGGTTATGAGCAACACATACAGACTGATTGGAAATGTCACATAGTAAGGGTAAAGGCTGCATTAATCATCAGGGTGAAGTACCCTGCACAAGTAAACTAACAGCAACACTGAAACTAGCTGAGGAGGAGAAACATGCCTATTTTACAAAGTATAAATAAAATAAACAAGAGTTTATAAAGTAAACAAGCCATAACTTCCAGACTGGCATAATCACTTTCTGAAAATGGAGGAGTAAGACAAAGACAAGCATCAGTGTATAAGCAGAACTTATGGCTTAAGTGAAACCTGCTTCCCTGGAAGTTAGGGAACATAAGTACAAATACCTGGGAAGTGGAGAGCCCAGAAGTTGGAACAGCTTTTCCTTGAATCATTTTCCAACACATCACTCTTCTCCATTGCTTCAGTAAATATGCTCATATTCATGTTTTGATTCTAAGGAGTCAGACTTGCCTAAGCCAAGTGTGGTCCTTGGACCAGCAGCACAGGCATTAGCTGAGAGTTTACATATCCAGAATTTCAGATTATGTGCCACACTGGCTGATTCCAACCTGCAGATTAACTATTTCCATCCACATTTCCATAAAAATATGAGAGGCCCAGACCGAAAAAAAAAAAAAACACACACACCACAAAGCAAGCAAACAAACAAAAAATACCATTCAATTATAAAAGATACACAGCTGCCTTTTTACCCCCTTGTTTTGCTTCTACTTCTCTCTTCCTAGAATGCTCTCTTAATCCTACCTAGTTTCATTCTGGATCCCATCTCTTTTATGAAGCTCTCCTATGGAACCAAGTTTAAGTGGACTCTCTCTCTCTTAAGAAACTATATGAATTTTAATTAAGCACTTCTTTTACATTAATTTGTATCCATGTTTTTTTAATTGAGACAAAATGTCATGTTTCCGAACACTGATATCTTTAGTGTTCAGCAGTGTGCTTGTCTTATAATTGATGATGTGTAGAATTTCACAGATTGCAAAAATCCAAAATGATATCATAATGATGATTGTTTTTATTCCATTAACGTATCTATTGCTTGTTTGCAGGTCTTTCAAACTGGCATATGGATTAATAGCAGAATTTTAAAAAATTAGACCAAATTTCTATTTATTTCCATATATTTTATTTTGTATATTCAAGGTAAAAATAAATTACTTCCAAATGGACAAGTAAAGCTGTATATGGCTGAAATGAAAATAACTTGTGTTTGCTTTTTAAAAGTCTTTGCCTTCTTTTCTTATTAGGTCTTCTATGTAAGTAACTATTGCTGCAGTGAATATCACTCTTCTGAAACTGCATAGCAAAAAAATGGCTAAATGCTTCAATAACTGAATATTTGGAACTGGAATAACTTATACATTTAAGTTATAAATTTTATTTAAAATAGTATGTGAACTTATGCAAAGAGTACTATAAAATGTCAAATTCCCTCCTGAGAATTTTTCTCATGAAAATACATGTACATTAAGGCAAAATAGTGATTTAAAAGGACCAGACATTGGATTAAAAGTGACTTTTATTGTTCTTTTTTTTTGTTTAAGTCTCTACAACAAACAAGTATTTCTTTTTTAATAACATCTTTTAAATGAAATGCAACAAAAAAGTCATCTAAACACCAGGAAATATTCATTAGACTACACGTGTACAATAAAGACATAGCTTTGAGCTATGGCTACACAGTTTATGAATGTGATTATTTTCCCTTGCTTTAATGGCAAATTCAGTCAAATAAATGTCAAATTAGTAGGCACTCTGGCAAACCATGTTAAATGAAATCAGTATGACTTATTTCCCCTGTTTTAAATTTACCTGGTTAAATAGCATTTTTATCTTTAGTTTTAAAAATATTTACATGCCCAGAGTAAAAAATAAATAAATAAATAAATAGTACAAGAGGACTTACAATAAAAATTCTTTTTTTTTTTTGAGACAAAGTCTCACTTTGTTGCCCAGGCTAGAGTGAGTGCCGTGGCATCAGCCTAGCTCACAGCAACCTCAGTCTCCTGGGCTCAAGCAATCCTACTGCCTCAGCCTCCCGAGTAGCTGGGACTACAGGCATGCGCCACCATGCCTGGCTAATTTTTTCTATGTATATTAGTTGGCCAATTAATTTCTTTCTATTTATAGTAGAGACGGGGGTCTCGCTCTTGTTCAGGTTGGTTTCGAACTCCTGACCTTGAGCAATCTGCCCGCTTCAGCCTCCCAGAGAGCTAGGATCACAGGTGTGAGCCACCTCGCCCGGCTACAATAAAAATTCTTCATCTCTCATCACACTCTTTTCACCAGCCCTAAACCCATCATTCTGTTTTCATGTTTGATGGTTACTGCAATCATCTTAAAGTATAAGCTCAAACTGCTATTTCCTAATTTAGATTAAAAAAATCCTTGCTATACAAAATGATAATTTAACTTATGTTATCTCTCACCTCGTCTGTCCTCCCTCCTTTTCCCCACTTACATAGTTTGTCTAAGATCTTATATAATCAAATTCTACTCTATGTTTTATTTACTTTCAATATTATCCCTTGGCTTCCTGCTATGTGAGATGAAAATAAAAACACCTTTACATGTCTCTCAGTAGGCAGCAGAATATGCCACCGCAAAATATGCCACTTTGTCATAAAGATTATTTTGAGCTGAAGGCAACTGAGTTGAAGACTATACAAGAAAAGCTCTTTTCCCTCCCACTATTTTCCTGAAAGCAGGGCATAAATCTACAAAGTGTTCTTCCTCCTTCTCTACCAGGAAAAACAAAATTTAATCACAAGAAGAAATCTCTGGATCCTTACCAGCCTGGAGCACACACCAAAGCAATCTGCATAATAACTGTTACTAACTAGCCTTTATCTACCATTAGTTTCCACAGTTTGCAGCCCCTAGATACTCAAGGTCCTTTCCCTTTTTCTTATCACTTCTCTATAAATTTATTCTTTGTTGAAGATGCTATATAAGCCAGAGCTCTAAGTCATCTCTGAGAGTTACTCATTTACTGAGTTTTCTCCCAAGTATATATGAAATATACATGTTAATACATTTCTGTTTGTTTTTCTCTTGTTGATCTGTCTTTTGTTATAGTAGTTCCAGTTGAGAATTTAGAAGGGTAGAAAAAAATTACTTTTTCCATTCCTACATCTTCAAATCTCCCCACTCCTTCCATGTGCTAACTTTTATGAGATGGACCCCTTCTTTTTCATTTTCGGAGCATGTGTATATTTACATTTGTATAATTTTTTGTCATGTCTATGTTTCTGTTGATTGAACATTTTAGAACTTTCCTATTTTATTAGTGTTTATGAGAACTAGCTTTTGGACTTATTAATCAACTCTGTCGTGTCTTTGTTGGTTTTCATAGCATTCTTTCCTTTGATGGTAGTAGTTAGAAATTTTTTTTTGTCTTTTATTTACTATAAAATATCTCCTTCTTCCCGAGTCAATTATTTTCTTTCTTTGGTTGGTTTATACAGATCTTTCTCCTTCATTGTGATGATCCTTTGCTATTCATGCATATATAAGAATGGGATTACTATTAATAATTCTAATATTTCCTCACCAACAGCCCTGATGTGGTGTGCCAGGATCTGTCCTCTTGTTAAATCTCCTTCCTAATAAGAATTCGAGGGAAGGTCAATATACATGGACAATTTGACACCCCACATGTGTTTAGCATTAGAGAACTAGCTGTTACACTACTTACCCCCCAAATTCTAGAATACATAGAGTTTTGCTCTTTGATGTCTATGCTAACGATGGGAGCCCTAGGTCTCCACAGTCAGCTAAATGTGTTTAGTATAATGGCTTCTGGTTTTTGCTTAGAAGAAAACACCAGGCTCCTGGTAAGTCTTGGTGGAATTACCACGGGTTGGGGTGGGATGGTGAAAGGTGTATGAGAAAAGCTTTAGAGCATCTGATTCCATGGACAGCTTTCCAATGAACTCCCCTGTATTCAGCCTCCTTTTTCACCTCATCATCAGGAACTGGGACATCAACACTGAAATCTTTGTAAAGTTCATTCATTGGCACCCCCTCCTGAATTATTCTAGTTGCCATATCTTGTTAGTTTTATTCTACTTTTCACCTATTATCAGGCTTCCATCAACATTTTGTCTTTTTAAGCATGTTAAAATATCTTGTATACTCGGGGACCACTCTTGTTCTTTTTGCTGCTGCTATGGTCGTATATCATTTGCTTTCTTTCTGTGTCATTACTATTTTATATATATAGGGCCTTAGAAGAAAGGGAAGGCAAATATATGTGCTTTTAAGCAATGTTGAACTCACAGTTGTTATCAATTTTTGTTTTAATATTAATATATTGATACTGTTCAATCAAATAAAATCACAATTTTATCTCTTAGTGTATATATATATATATATATAATAAAATGGATACTTAACATTAGTTAAGAAAAATGGACTACTAAGCCTTACAAATTATAAATGATATCTTAAGAATCATTTTAGGTCAAATTTATAGGTTAAAATAAATCTTAATCCAGACTGCTACTAAGAATGATGTAGAAATAATGATTTCTACATTCCAAAAAATTAGATACATATTTTCCAAAGTAGAACTGAATGTGGTTTTCCTTCTGCTTCTTTTCTTTTGCCATGGCTTTCATGTGATCATTCTGCCAATGAAAATGTAGGTGCTTAAAAGATTGTGTAAAAACATGTCCAGTGTGAGAGTGGAAGAAGGCAAATGTGTTAGTTTCTTATTGCTGTTGTAAAAATTGTCAAAACTTGTTGGCTTAAAATTACAAAAATACATTCTCTCACAATTTTAGAGGCCAAAAGTTCAAAATCAGTTTCACTGGGCTAATGTCATGGTGGCCATAGGGTCCTTCTGAAGGGTCTAGGGGAGAATCCTTTTCTTTGTCTTTTCTAGTTTTTTAAGGCTGCCTGCATCTTCCTCAGCTGGGGACCCCTCTGCTCACATCCATCCAAACTCTTTCTTCTTCTTCTCCTTCTTCTTCTCCTTCTCCTTCTCCTTCTCCTTCTCCTTCTCCTTCTCCTTCTCCTCCTCCTCCTCCTCCTCCTCCTCCTCCTCCTCCTCCTCCTCCTCCTCCTCCTCCTCCTCCTCCTCCTTCTTTTGAGACAGGGTCTCACTCTGTCTGGGCTAGAATGCCATGACATCAGCCTAGCTCACAGCAACCTCAACTCCTGGGCTCAAGCAATCCTTCTGCCTCAGCCTCCTGAGTAGCTGGGACTACAGGCATGTGCCACCATGCCCAGCTGATTTTTTCTATATGATTTTAGTTTCTAGCTAATTTGTTTCTATTTTTAGTAGAGACAGGGTCTCACTCTTCATCAGGCTGGTTTCGAACTCCTGAGCTCAAACCATCCTCCTGCCTTGGCCTCTCAGAGCGCTAGGATTACAGACATGAGCCACCACACCTGGAACCAACTTTTGCTTCTGTTCTCACATCTCCTACTTTCTCCCTTGACTGTCTTTTATCCCTTCTTATGAGGATGCTTGTGACTACATTTACATTTCACCTAGATAATTCTGGATACTCATGCCATCCCAAGATCCTTTATTTAATCACATCTACAAAATCCCTTTTGCCATGTAAGGTAACATTCACATTTTCCCAGGATTTGGACAAGGTAATCTTTGGGGGCCATCATTCTGCCTACCATAGTGAACTTCTTGGAAAGGTGTTGCAGAAGTCTGAGTTAAATGTCAGTGGATTGGGATAGAAAAATAGCAGAGGAGGTGGAAGGTATATTCAAGATATATTACTTTTGGAATGTGGAATAGATTTGCTAGTGGATTGGGTATAGAGGTTGATGAAGATTTATAGAAAAGTCAGGATAATGTCAACATATTGACTTGAGTAACTGAGTGATTGGAGGTGCCATTACATGAGATAGGCAGACTAAGAGGAGTCCCATTGAAGTGTGAGACCCCAGAGATTGTTTTGAGT